AATGACAGGATGATGCAGCTGAGCAGAAAGTACATGTCAAGTAGAATTTTTTTTTTTTTCCCCCTTCCCTGGAGCTTTTTTTTTCCCCTCCTCTAGAAAAGGGATGCAGGAGCTGCTTCAACTGCAGCTGCTCCAGCAGCCTCCTCTGCAGCAGCACCAATATTTGCAGCTGGGTTATTTAATTCTGCTTTAGTCACATGGACAAGAGAAAGGGTTTATCTTCCCTCCTTGAAATAAAAGGTGTCACTATGGTTTCAGGATCTCAGAGCCAACAGGTCTTAGGAGTGTTTCAGCTCCTGAATATCTTTCTGAGCACTAATCTGGTGTCACTTGAACTTGCAAACCTGGAAAGACAACGAAGAGGAAAGACAGTTACTTATCCCATGTCCATTTCTTGCAGCCACCAGTTCCCAATTTGACTTTTAAGCTCTTCCTGTGCTGCCACAAACTCTTCTTCCAACCTGATTCAGGAACTAAAACCCACAGAAGCTGGACAAAGAATCATTAAGTGGGGATTTTGACTGATGTTTAAGACCTCTTCAGTGAAAAGAGGCTGAAAATCACGAGGAAAGAAGCCACAGAAGGAAACTCTGGGAAAAGCAACTCCTCAGCCTGAAACAATTGCAGCTCAGACCCGTAACACGGAGATCAGCTGTGCTGCTGCTTTTCTGTGCTTTCTGCACTAAGTGCTCTGCTTATTGAGGAACTCAGACTGTCCAAGGCCCTTTCCCAGGTGGTTTCACGCAGCCCAGTTGCTGTGACCTGCTTGTGTAAGAGCCCGGAGCAACTGGGACCTGCTGGGAGCTCCCTGAGGAGCTCTCTGACGACTGACACAATATCCCTGCAGCACCTCCCGCCCGGGGGCTGTGTCGGCCCTTTGGAAAGGATTTGTTGGAGGTGGGAAGGCCGTGGTGCACTTTGGGGACACCCGTGTTGGGTTTGGGATGAACTTGAGCCTCAGGAGTTTGACGGGTTAGAGTCTCTGTTTGCAGCTGTTTGGAAGATTGAAATAAAATAAAGAAATGAAGGAAGGGATAAAGGTGCTGGGGAGTGCCCAAAGGAGGGACAGGGAGCTGGGGAAGGGTGTGAGGAGCAGCTGAGGGCACTGGGCTGGTTCAGCTGGAGCAGAGGAGACTGAGGGGAGACTCCTCGGGGGCTGCAGCTCCTCCCGAGGGCAGGCGGAGGGGCAGGCGCTGAGCTCTGCTCTGGGACCAGGGACAGGAGCCAGGGAAGGGCTGGAGCTGT